TTTGGGGAGCAGTGTGCATCCCTGGGGGATTGCACCAGTACTGCCAGTGTGTGCTTTGGGGAGCAGCGTGCATCCCTGGGGGCTGCACTGATGCTGCAAGTGTGTGCATCGGGGTGCAGTGTGCACCCTCGGAGGGTTACACCAGTGCTGCGAGCTCAAAGGTACATCGGGGAGCAGCGTGCATGGCTCGCGGGGCCCCAAGCAGCAGCATGGGGGGCCACCTCTCCCGATGGGCTCCCCCGGGGCCAGGGGCTTCAGCAGCCGTGGGGCCGAGCGCGCGCCGCAGCAGCCCCYGCGCGAGCCCAGCGCAACACACGAGCGCAGCCGGAGGCAGAGGGAACGGCCCATCCAGCTCCATAAAGCTCCACGCTGCTCCGCCGAAAGGGCAGGGCGGGAAACAGATCCGCTCGCAGCCGTCTGGAGGGCCCGGGGGATTGAACCGCGGTGAGCGGGCGCCCGGCCCCGGCCGAGCGCGGGAGGCCGCCGGTGCCACCGCGACATCCCTTCTCCTGCCTCCTGTGCTCGCTCGGCAGCAGGGCGGGATGCRGGGAGGGAGCGGGGTGTTTCTGGGAGCGATTGCAGCAGCTCTGTTTGGAAGCAGAGGCCCCGGTGCAGCCGCTGGATGCAGCGGCAGAGCTCCCAATGGATGGGGACGGCCACCCGGGATGCAGCAGCAGAGCCCCCAATGGATGAGGATGCGGACGGCCACCTGGGATGCAGCAGCAGAGCCACCAATGGATGAGGATGGGGACAGAGGGGACGGTCACTCGGAATGCAGTGGCTGAGCCACCAATGGATGAGGATGAGGACAGCCACCCGGGATGCAGCGGCAGATTCCCCAGGGGATGGGGACAGTGGGGAAAGCCACCTGGGATGCAGCAGCAGAGCCTCCAATGGATGGGGACCTGGACGGCTACCCGGGATGCAGCGGCAGAGCCTCCAATGGATGGGGACCGGGATGGCTACCCGGGATGCAGCGGCAGAGCCTCCAATGGATGGGGACCGGGACGGCTACCCGGGATGCAGCGGCAGAGCCCCAGCAGGCAGCCCTCTCTGGTCCCTCTCCGGTCCCCACAGAGCTGTCGCTGCAGGCAGGGCCAGCACCCAGGGACACGGTCACCCCCCGCAGGGCCAGCACCCAGGGGAACAGGTCACAGGTGCAGGGATGGCACTCAAGGGACAAGATCGCCCAGTGCAGTGACAGCACCCAGGGGACATGCTCACAGATGCAGTGATGCGCCAAGGGGACAAGGTCACAGGTGCGGGGACAAGGTCGCAGCTGCAGGGACAGCACCCAGGGGACAGGGTCTTCCCATGTGTGGATGGCACCTGGAGGACAAGGTTGCCCCGTGCAAGGACAGCACATGAGGAATTAATCCGCAGGTGCAAGGGTGGCACTCGGGACAAGGGCACCTAATAGAGCGACAGCACCCAGGGCACACGCTTGAAGGTGCAGGGAGAGCACCCAGGGGACAGGGCCGTCCCATGTCGGGGGGACACGGGGGGACAAGGTTGCCCCGTGCAAGGACAGCACATGAGGAATTAATCTACAGGTGCAAGGGTGGCACTCGGGACAAGGGCACCTAATAGAGCGACAGCACCCAGGGCACACGCTTGAAGGCGCAGGGAGAGCACCCAGGGGACAGGGCCGTCCCATGTCGGGGGGACACGGGGGGACAAGGTTGCCCCGTGCAAGGACAGCACATGAGGAATTAATCTACAGGTGCAAGGGTGGCACTCGGGACAAGGGCACCTAATAGAGCGACAGCACCCAGGGCACACGCTTGAAGGCGCAGGGACAGCACCAAGGGACACGGCTGCCCAGCGTGGGGAAGGCATTGGGAGGCCACAGTCACCAGGGGGACAAGGGCCAGCACCCAGGTGACAAGGTGGCAGGCGCAAGGACAGCACCCCAGGGACAYGGTCGCTGCAGCCCTGCGCCGCGGCGCGGGCAGCGAGCGGGCAAGGACGAGCCGCCCGCCGCGAGGCTGTCGCTTCGCATCAGCCCGCGCGCCCCCGCCAGCGCCGCCCATCACTACACGCGGGGGCTTCTCCTCGCTTTCCTCAATCACATTAATCCGAAGTGAAAAACGGGGAGCTGACGGGGGAAATATTTACAAYGCGGGGGAAATATTTACAACAATATTTACAAATATTTACCGCAAAGGCGCCCGGGCGCTCAGCACCGCGGCTGTCCAACGTGCACTGGCCGCTCCGCTTTCCATCTCCCACAGGAGATCCCATAGGGATGGGCACCGCTCGCTTCCCATCTCCCCAGCCCATGAGCAACCTGCATGCTCAGCCACCTCCCTGCAGCCTCTTCCAAGCCAGGAAGGTTGCCGACTTCCCAGCAGGAAAGTCTCGCGAGCTGCTTTGCTTTTTTCTCTTATTTTATTTTATTTTACTTTAATATATATAAACAGGGCTCCAAAATGGCAAGATGCAATTAGGCATGGCAATAGCCCTCGACGAGCAGCAGCGAGCTGCCGTGCCACCGAGGAAATTGATTTTATTTGACCATTTTACGAGCATTGGAAAATTGCATCCTGAGCATGTGCCTCGGTCGTTTAGCGCACATTATATTCCGCGCTCCCCCGATTGCTCTAAACCAGCCCAGAGAAATATGCCAGGGAAAAGAAGGGAAAAACAAGAGTGCTGCGGGTAGGTGGTGTCACCGGGACACGGTGGGTCCATCTGCATCCATGTCCCAAGGACACGGCGGGTGTATCTGCATCCATGTCCCATGTGCAATCCCCAGCACTGAGCTATCCCAAAGAGCATCCACCTCCCTTGCACTGCCAGACTCCCCCTGCCCTCTCCAAATCCCGTTATCCAAATCCCGTTATCCAAAGCACCGAGCGAGCAGCAGATCCCGGCCGTGAACCCCGCGCGCTCCGGCGCTGCCACCCACCTTCTTGCCGATGAGCTTCTTGCGCAGGAACTCGCGGGCCTCGAACATGTAAGGGATGTCGTAGAGCGGCCGCAGCTTGCGGTTCTTGTCCTGCAGCACGCGGGGGGAAGAGGCATCGGGTGAGCCGAGCGGCGCCCGTTCCCTGCGGGAATGATCCCAGCACGCAGAGCCCGCCTGCATCCTCCCCGGCCTCTGCATCCTCCCCGATCCCCGCATCCTCCCCGGCCTCTGCATCCTCCCCAGCTCCTGCATCCTCCCCGGCCTCTGCATCCTCCCCAGCTCCTGCATCCTCCCTGGCCTCTGCATCCTCCCCGATCCCCGCATCCTCCCCAGCCTCTGCATCCTCCCCGATCCCCGCATCCTTCCCAGCTCCCGCATCCTCCCCAGCTCCCGCATCCTCCCCGGCCTCTGCATCCTCTCCGACCCCGCTGCATCCCCGAGGCCGCGCGGCCGGCATGTGGCGCATCCTGCCGATCCCGCACTCCCCAATCCCTGTGATCCCAGCCTGGAGCCGGACTGGAACAGCAGAACAGCCTCCCTGGCGCTGCCCTGTCCCCATGTGCAGGCAGCCTCCGTGCACAGCCCCTGCTCATTAGACGAGTGTGTTATTGGCTCAGGATTAACGGGATGAGGTGTCGGGAAAGGGGAGCACCCGGCTGCACGAGCTCCCCGAGCCCCATGGGTTCCCTGAGCCCCATCATCCATCCGGGCACCGCTCCGGGCAGCGCCGGGCTCCGGCACAACCGCAGGGCAAGTATCACGGCCCGGCTCTGTCTACAGCTTTGCACGGGCACCGCGCTATGCAAACACTAATTAATCCTCGCTAACGAACTACAGATTTATTGCTTGTTTAAGCGTCTATCCGGCACAGGCTGTTAAGTTGCTAATCCCGCTGAACGCCGCGGTGGGAAGGGGCAGGGGGAGCAGGGCGGCGCGGGCAGCATGGGGGACGGGCACCAACTCCGAGGCCACCGCGGCACCGACCGCAAGGAAAAGCAGCAGAGCAGGCGGCCGTGGCGCTCGGCACGGTGCTCCGGGAAGCACCCGGGCCAGCAGCTCGCCTTGGAGCATCCTTGGGAGCCAATATCCCATGCACCTTCTCCAGCTTGGCGGTCTCCGCTCCAAGCACCACCGCAGCTCTCGGCGGAATTGCGCAAAAGCAAATGTTTGCCTTAAAAAAGGGAAGAGAAAAGAGCGGCCTCGGAGAGCCACGTGGGTCCCAGCGGGACCTGACCCTGAGCTGAGCAGCTTCTGGCAGCAAAATCCGTGCAAGAGGCGGCTCCCGGGATCCTTCGGGATCCYGCCGCTCCGTGGAGCCGCTTGCGGTCCTGCTGCTGCGGCCGAGGTTTGGCGCATGGAGAGCRCGGCGAGGAGCGCGGCGGGCGTCCCGTGCCCACCGCTGCACCTGCATGTGGTGCAGCGTGCCCTCCTGCACTGCTGCCGGTGCCCGAGCCGTGCGCGGGGACTCCCCGTGAGCCGCTGCAAAGCCCGGAGCTGCCGCGGCCTCCCCGGCTGCGCGGGGAAGTCATTAAAAACAAAAATTAGCGTTATTTAATCAGAGGCGCGCGCCGAGAGAGGCAGCTTGTTAGTGAGGAGGTCGATGCATCGAGCGGGCTCTGCAGGGAGGGAGCGCGGGGAGGGGAATGGAGCCGCACAGAGTGGGAGGCAACGGGAAGGCACCGGCTCCTGTGGGAGCATCAGGGCGCACGGAAGCGGCCGAGCTGGCGGTTGGCACCGTGCGGCAAAGGGGATGCGCGGGGGGATGCCTCGGGCTGGGATGTGCAGCGGGCTCTGTGCCAGGCGCTGCGCCGGAGCCAGCTCTGCCTCCGGGAGCTTGGTACGCGCAGGAGCGGGCGGCGAGACCACGAGGTGACGTTACCAGCTGCAAGGGAAAGTGGCAGTGCCAGAGCAAGGCTGCTGCCTCCAGCGGTGCAGCCAGGGGTCCCAAACTGCACGCAGTGCAG